ATTATTTTGATACCTCCCTGTCTTCAAGTGCGGACCTGATAAACCTGTGTATAGAAATTGAAGATATCACATTAGGGCTTTGTTGGGTTTGTTTTTCCCTTACCGACAAGTTTACACCACTTCCAGTAATTTCTTTCTTCAATTTTTTCCTTCTCTTTTGGAAATTAAGCATATCTTGGGTAATAATTATTTCAGTGGATCGGTACCACCATCTCTGAATATCTATTCAACATCTCCTCCCATTTGGCAGTTTTTTTTTTTTTATAACACTTATCCAAATCTTCTATGCTTATATCACTAGAATTAGCACCCAATCAATTCAACCCCAGCGTAGTGTCACGGGCCTAGAGATTTGGCGCAGCGGCACGGCCCGTGTGGCACCAAGGCGTTGCTTCAGCTCGCGCAAGCGTCCTGGTCAGCCACCACGACCTGCCTTCCCAAGGATACATGTTGATTGGTTTCGACCTGCCTTGGTCTCATCAGGGCAACGGCTCCAGCTCCCGACCAGTTTGTGCAGGGATGGCCAACTCCCTTCTTCATAGTCAAGTCCACGACCAGCGACAAGCACCTCGAACTGAACCGAGTCGACCTGCCTGAACTCTGAAGAGGTACCATCTTGTGGTCCTGCACACCCCTTCCCTGGAACCATTACCAGTCAATGAATGTCTTAGCCAACCAGCATGCATGTCTTTTATGCTCATGGCGTCGTTAGGAATCGGAACGTGACATTCTCCCCCACCCAAATCCTACAACGCCCTCGTCGCAGTGCGGCGCTGACTCTGCTGCGTCCAACATTCCAAAGTCTCTCTCCTCCAAGTGGTATGCTCGCCTGCCCACCATCGCTTCCTTGTATAACCCCTGGCTGCACTCGCCCAATGATAGGGTTTCGGGCTAAAGGGACGCCCACTTCTTCGGGACGCAACCCAACGTTATGCCACCTCCGCGACACCCCGAGCAAACAAGGGCCCTCCGGCTGACTTGATACCCACCCTTCACAACGGTTTGCACGCCTCTTGAACTTGCAAAAACTTTGGTACACGCGGCCCTCCGGCTTCAAAGGACGCATCTTCATAGGGAGATGGAGGCTCTCCTCCAACAGCATTGATTGCCCACCGACACTTTAGTGCACCCACTTCATTCTCAAAACCCTCGAATCGACAAGGGGGGCACACCTTTGTGCTTTTCCCCAAGTCCTGCACTGATACCATTTGTCACGGGCCTAGAGATTTGGCGCAGCGGCACGGCCCGTGTGGCACCAAGGCATTGCTCCAGGGATACATGCTGACTCGTTTTGGCCTGCCATGGCCTCGTCAGGGGAACGGCTCCAACTCCCGACCAGTTTGTGTAGGGATGGCCAACTCCCTTCTTCATAGTCAAGTCCATGACCAGCGACAAGCACCTCGAACTAAACCGAGTCGACCTGCCTGAACTCTGAAGAGGTACCATCTTGTGGTCCTGCACGCCCCTTCCCTGGAACCATTCCCAGTCAATGAATGTTCTTAGCCAACCAGCATGCGTGTCTTCTATGCTCATTGTCACGGGCCTAAAGATTTGGCGCAGCGGCACGGCCCGTGCGGCACCAAGGCATTGCTCCAGCTCGCGCAAGCGCCCTGGTCAACCACCACGACCTGCCCTCCCAAGGATACATGCTGACTGGTTTCGGCCTGCCATGGCCTCGTCAGGGGAATGGCTCTAGCTCCTGACCAGTTTGTGCAGGGATGGCCAACTCCCTTCTTCATAGTCAAGTCCACGACCAGCGACAAGCACCTCGAACTGAACCGAGTCGACCTAGCTGAACTCTGAAGAGGTACCATCCTGTGGTCCTGCACGCCCCTTTCCTAGAACCATTCCCAGTCAATGAATGTTCTTAACCAACCAGCATGTGTGTCTTTTATGCTCATGGCGTCATTAGGAATCGGAACGTGACATTCTCCCCCACCCAAATCCTGCCACGCCCTTGTCGCAGTGCAGCGCTGACTCCGCTGCGTCCAACATTCCAAAGTTTCTCTCCTCCAAGTGGTATGCTCGCCTGCCCACCATTGCTTCCTTGTACAACCCCTGGCTACACTCGCCCAATGATAGGGTTTCGGGCTAAAGGGACGCCCACTTCTTCGGGACGCAACCCCACGTTATGCCGCCTCCGCGACACCCCGAGCAAATAAGGGCCCTCCGGCTGACTTGATACCCACCCTTCACAACGGTTTGCACGCCTCTTGAACTTGCAAGAACTTTGGTGCGCGCGGCCCTTCGGCTTCAAAGGACGCATCTTCTTGGGGAAATAGAGGCTCTCCTCTAACAGCATTGATTGCCCACCGACGCTCTGGTGCTTTCACTTCTTCTCAAGACCCCCAGATTGACAAGGGGGCACCCCACTGTGCTTTATCCCAAGTCCTGCTCTGATACCATTTGTCACGAGCCTAGAGATTTGGCGCAGCGGCACGGCCCGTGCGGCACCAAGGCGTTGCTTCAGCTCGCGCAAGCGCCCTGGTCAGCCACCATAACCTACCCTCCCAAGGATACATGCTGACTGGTTTCGGCCTACCATGGTCTCGTCAAGGGAACGGCTCCAGCTCCCGACCAGTTTGTGCAGGGATGGCCAACTCCCTTCTTCATAGTCAAGTCCACGACCAGTAACAAGCACCTCGAACTGAACCGAGTCGACCTGCCTGAACTCTGAAGAAGTACCATCTTGTGGTCCTGCACGCCCCTTCCTTGGAACCATTTCCAGTCAATGAATGTTCTTAGTCAACCAACATACATGTCTTCTATGCTCATGGCGTCGTTAGGAATCGGATCATGACAGTAGGCCACTTAAAACTACTTAAAAGACTCAATTGGAAATCTGCTAACAATTGAATTCGAGGCCCTAAACATAATTTTGTCTCACCTTTCACGAACTTGAGCTACAGACAAAAAAGAATGAAAGAGTAAATTTTTCTAGTTAGAAAATATTTAAAGGCTCTTTACGTAATAAAATATCCAATAGTCACTCATTAGCATTTAAATTTTAAATTTGGTCACCATTCATCATTTTTTTTAACTTTAAACTATTGTCTAACAATTTTGTTTAAGTTTGGTTACAAAAAGGTAAAGGTAAATTGCACTGACACCTCCTGAGATTTTGGTCAATACCATTCAATGGACGGTCAATACACTTATTTAAATTGACACCCCTGAAGTTTTAAATGCCATCAGAAACACCCCTCTATACTACTATAGTATAATAAAATGAGCAGCATCCGCTTTGACTTTTCAACAACCACTTCTAAAATGACCAATTTAACCTTCCTGACTAATGCTAAACACCAGACCACCATCGCCACCCTAACCACCACTGCTGTTATACACACCACAATCACCGTCACTCTACACACAAATTATATACATATATATAATACAACATATATACAAAACACATACATACATATTATGAGAATGAAAAATGAGCAAATATTTGAGATACCATGGAGCAGAGCTAGTATCCCTCAGGCATAAGACCAATCGGAAGGTTGAATCGGGCGAGAAATCAGTGATGGGTGATTGACCGGGCCTCGTTATGAAAGACGATCGGTCAATCGTAAGAACTTATATATATATATATATATATATATATATATATATATATATACTACGAGAGAGGGGGCTTCAAAATAAACCAAATTCGATTTAGGGCCCGACACGGTGGCGTTGGTGGCGGAGATCTGAGACCTGGGGAGGTAATCTGCCTCGCTCACCAACATCTCGATAACGGCATCAACCTCTCCTTATCCGGATAATGCTATCTGTGACTGGGTGTATTTTTGGTTTGGGTAATGGGGGGTATTATCGTAAATTAACATTACTGATATTTTGTGAATATAATTGAATTAAATAATAAGGGACAAATATGACATTTGAAACTTCAAGGGGAATCAATGTAAACAAGTGCATTAACCATTCGCTAAATGGCATTGACCCAAGCCTCAAAGGTGTCAGTGCAATTAATCCAAAATAAAATTTTCCCTTCACTGACTTTAATTATTGCCAGCACAAATGTGGAAAGAATTATTCTTCTGAATTTCTTCGTTGTTACACGTAAGCAAGTGATTTTGTTTTTTTTGGATAATACTCATTGTTGAAGATGGATTCTGCGCAACCCGGATCTGATCTGATCTAATCCGACTTCCTGAACAGAGAGAAGAAAAAGTGATCACACAAATACCGGTGTGTTACTGGTGGAGTAGGGTCCGACGAACAAATCAGTGGGCGGAGTAATCTCTTCAAAGAAATCAAGAAATTGAGTTAGGGTTTATTGCGTACCTCAAAACGTTGATTCCCCCGCCTTTTTTATAGGGCTTAGATTAAGATGTCACGTAGAATTACCTTATTTTAATCTGTAGACTTAATCCTTATCGTAATCTTTAATCCTTATCACAATCTTTAATCCTTATCGTAATCTGTAAAGCCTATCTCAATCTGTAATCCTTATCGTAATTTGCAGAGCTTGTTAATTTAGCAATCTTCCCTTAATTATGGATATTTAAATTATACATCCATCACTCATAATTCTTAAATGACATGTTGTTGGAAGATTATGGCACAACTGTTGTGTAGTTGAGGATTCGATTAGCAATTTGAGTTGCTTCATCTTACTTCTCATGGATCTATTTCTATACAACATGTTTGTTTTCAGATTTTGAAAGGTCATTTCAGTAAGTTTAAGATTTCCTACACGTATGTTCCTTGCAGCCATTAGGTGCGTCTAAATGGAGTGGAATTCTAGGTTGTATGATTAGTCATCCAGAAGGGTCTCCTGGCCTTGGCCTTGGTCTTGGAATTGTAATATTTACCAACAAATTTCACTTTTGTTGGGAGTTCGAATTCCTTTTTGGCATAATTTGTGAGATTTCACCAAATGAGCCGTATAAAAGTAAGCAAATTAGTCCTGGTAGTTTCAAAAGTGAGCAACTTGCCTCTGCTAGTTGCTTTCCGATTGATGTCATTACACATTTACCAAAATACCCCTTATAATTAAATTAGTTTAAAAAAGCAAAAAAATCTCAAAAGGAAAAATACAGCAAATTCCCTCCACTGTCAACTAAAGCCTTTCAACTAAATTTACCAAATGTCGGGGATGTAGATGAACAAGCGGTCAAAAGGTAACAAAAAAAATAAACGGATACAACGTGTTCGTAGCATAAAGATGAGTTTAATGCATGTGTTAGTACTTTTATCACTAATGGTTCGTGTAGTTTCCCCTCTCCACTACTCAGACTTCTGCCTGATTTAAACACCATTAACAGTCTTCAATCCACATAGATGATCAGATAGCATGAATCCCTTCTCCAAATAAAACGTTTTCACTGGCTCACACCCTCCAAGCTTTATCTCCTCCACCTTCTCCAAAGACATGGACTCGTATAGCATGGTTCAATCCCTCTATCCCAAGTCATAAATTTATACCATGGCTAGCTATTCAGAACAGGCTACAAACGCGTAACAGAATGAACCATAACAAGTATCACTGGCCAAATTACCATTCATTAACTAAACCAAATCATTTCATAAAGAGATCTAACTTTCCACCACTTGAATGAAAGCTTCAGTTCGGTATAATCTGCAAAAGTGGAAAGCGAAACCAACAACATACTATTATTTATCCGCAACTGGATAGAGACAAATTTTTCATCAACCACTCACGTTACTTTTGTCATAAACAGATTTCCTCATGCATACTCTATCCAATCTCATTTTCGTAGCCCTTCATACCTGTTGCTGGTTAGGTTTTCTTCCTTGTTAAATTTGCTTTAGGAGAGCAGCTGTAGTTGTAAAGTTGCTTGTAGGCTTTAATGTTGATCTACATCTGCTTCCTCTAATGTACCAGTACTTTTGGGATGTCGGTTCCCTTGATTGTCTATCTGAAGCTCTTTTTGAGGTGCTGTAGGCACATTTGACAAATGCTGCGGCAGCTGCTGCAATTGATGCACTTCACCAAACTGTGATGGTAATTGCTCAGAAGATACCTGATTATTCTGTGAAGCATATTTTTGTGACGTTCCATATAACTTTTCAGACTGAGGGTGCTCCCACCTCAATGCAACACCGGATAATTATGAAGGATGTACAAGAAACATAGTCGTTTTTTTCATCCAATTTAGCCACCGCTGCTCACTGTTTCTCCCCAGATTATCCATGAATTCATTGTACATATAAATATCAGCTCACTTTCAAGAACGAAGATTATCATCCAAGCACTAGTTGCTCCATAGTAATTCTTTGGAAGAATATCTAGACTAGTCCTTGCCGTGCAATCCAAGAATTCATGCCTACAAAAATTGAGATAGTCTATGTAAGTGTTTTTGATACTCCAATTCAACAGCTGAGCAAGAGGAAATTGTAATTGAACCACACTACATTTTACAAAAACAATTCCTTAGGGGGAAAGAAAAATTGAACAAGTTAAACTTGTAAAATGCAGTTGGTAATAACAATCACTCTGACAGATGGGTCCTCATACACTACGGACCAGCCATTATAGCCTGGTTCTGTTTCCATGAGATACATTGATGCGAATATGTACTTTCTCCTAATATGGAAGATAATTAATGACAGAAAAAGCTAATCAAACTAAAAATTGGCTATTTACTGAAGAAAAAAAATTAAATTGGTGTAGTGGTGAGAATACCAACTGTCCCTTAAAGTTGGCCACAAACAATCTTTTATTTTTATTTATTATTATTTTTAACATTGTCATTCCAAAGCAATGGAAGAAATCCAAAAACATCTTAGAGAATCCACTTTGTGCAAAATGATAATAACGAATTAAGTCACTGGTTCACCTTGTATCATGTTGGCTTATGGCATGAACCCTAAGCCATTAAGCCAAGGTTCAAGACTTGTGCCTGCCATTGATTCTTTGATAATAAAGATTTAATTATGTAAACTAGATAAAAGACTTGTATATAGTAATAAAAATAAACGTACATTGCATGTGATCGAAAATCAAATTTGTTATAAAAATAAAGTAACATTTGGAACTTCAAAGTTCAATTCATTAAAAACTTTCCATTGCTATCACAAAATTACCACTAAACTTCTAGCGGTATATTAGGGGGATGAATGGAGAAGTTATAAACTCAAGTAGTTCCAATGTTCGAAATGTATTTACAATAAAATACCAATGATTAAAATATTCGCATCTTAACACTAACAACATAGCAATCATTCTACACACAACATTTTTGTTAGTGATATCATAGACAAATAACAATGAGACCAATCTTTATCATATCTTTCTAATTTGGTTCTTTGTTCCACATCTCAAACTAAGCTAAACAACATGCAGGTACTCTGTAAATCAAGTATACTAGAACATAGTTAACATTGTATATAATCGACAGGTTTGCATTTTTTCAATCAAACTGGCTCATCTGACGACCAAGTCCAACCAATTTATGACACTGAATTTGATAAAGGAATAAATAACAAAATACTAAAAAATAGTCCTCGGATTTGACGTTGACATGTATCTCTAACACTTCAATACCCACCCACCATGCTCATTTATAAAATAGCTCATTTTTTAGAATTTGTGAAATAATTTTTCTATACTTAGCCAATGCTGCATACAAATTAAGTGGATATCGACAAAATGCATGCAACAATATGACAACTCAACTTATATATGCACCATTACATGAAAAGAGAAGGGATTGTAGGCCTCACATTACCAACATATATTGACCGCGAATCCACCTTTCCCTTTTCTGCTTGAGTAGCATAGGCACCCACGAATCCACCTCTTCCTTTTCTATTTGAGTAGCAAAGGCGCAAGGGGAATCTTCTTACACGCACACACACAAAGAAGAAGAAATAATTAATTTAGTAAAATGTCATTTCTAAATGAAGACGATGTTGATTACTATATTAGTTTCAGAATTATTCTACTCATAATCCAGTAATAATCATGCTGCAGAATTTCAATTAATTATGCAGATCAAATACATTTCAATGGTTTTGATTGATGAAAGCTTGAAACTCATATAATCGATTCTCTGGTGGGATACACGACCACCCACTAGAGAATCAAGTATTCAAGTGTGGATACACGATGAAAATGGTGGGATTCATGGTTTTTGAGAAACCCTAATAATGGGGTTCACAAAAACCTGGACACATAACAGAAAATGCAGGTAAGGTAAGGATATATACAAAAAGGGTTTTTGTAGATCTGTATGTATAATACATATTCTGTTAAAAAAAAAAAAAGGTTGTTTGAGATAATTAAGGAATTGAACTGACCTGGTATGGAGACATTGATGATGAATCAGGTGGGAAGTTTATAACATCCCATGGTGACTGGTTCAGCAGACACACATGGGTCTCAAGAAGCTGGTGTTCCCATGAGAGAGAACAGCCTGAAATTTGAGAGAACAAGAAGATTAAACCCTGAGTAGATAACAAGGTGTATTATTAACATACGAGTATCACCGAACATATCAGAAGGTACCAGTAGTTGGGGAAGTTGGTTCCCTTGATTGTCTATCTGAACCTCTTTTTGAGGTGCTGTAGGCACATTTGACATATGCTGCTGCAATTGTTGCACTTTACCAAACTGTGATGGTAATTGCTCAGAAGATACCTGATTATTCTGTGAAGCATACTTTTGTGATGTTCCATATAAAGTTTCAGACTGAGGGTGCTCCCACATCAATGCAACACCAGAGAATTATGATAGATGTACAAGAAACAAAGTCGTTTTTCATCCAATTTAGCCACCGCTGCTCGCTGTTTCTCCCCAGATTATCCATGAATTCATTGTACATATAAATATCAGCTCACTTTCAAGAACGAAGAATATCATCCAAGCACTAGTTGTTCGGTAGTAATTCTTTGGAAGAATGTCAAGATTAGTCCTTGCCGTGCAATCCAAGAATTCATACCTACAAAATTGAGATATTCTATGTAAGTGTTTTTGATACTCCAATTCAACAGCTAAGCAAGAGAAAATTGTAATTGAACCGCACTACATTTTACAAAAACAATTCCTTAGGGGGGAAGAAAAATTGAACAAGTCAAACTTGTAAAATGCAGTTGGTAATAACAATCACTCTGACAGATGGAGAATTGTCCTCATACACTACGGACCAGCCATTATAGCCTGGTTCTGTTTCCATGAGATACATCAATGCTTTTATGTTCTTTCCCTTAATATGGAAGATAATTAATGGCATAAAAAGCTAATGAAACAAAAAATTGGCTATTTACCCAAAAATAATAATAATAATTTGGTGTAGTGGTGAGAATACAAACTGTCCCTGAAAGTTGGCCACAAACAATTCTTTTTTTTTTTTTTTCCTTTTCTTTTAACTTTGTCGTTCCGAAGCAACGGAACAAATCCAAAAACATCTTAGAGCATCAACTTTGTGCAAAATGATAATAACGAATTATGTCACTGGTTCACCTTGTAGCATGTTGGCTTATGGCTGGAACCCTAAGCCATTAGGCCAAGGTTCAAGACTTATGCCTGCCTTTGATTCTTTGATAATAAAGATTTAAATATGTAAACTAGATAAAAGACTTGTATGTAGTAATAAGAGTAAAAATACATTGCATGTGACTGAAAATCAAATTTGTAATAAAAATAAAGTAACATTTGGAACTTCAAAGTTCAATTCATTAAAAACATTCTATTGCTATCACAAAATTACCACTAAACTTCTAGCGGTATATTAGGGGGATGGACGGAGAATTTAGAAACTCAAGTAGTTCCAATGTTCCAATGTATTTACAATAAAATACCACTGATTACAATATTAGCATATTTACACTAACAACATAGCAATCATTCTACACACAACATTTTTATTAGTGATAGCTTGAAGCTTTCTAATGACACCAAGAGCAAATCCGGAGAGTACACTTGAACATAGTTAACATTGTATATAATCGAAAGGTTTGCATTTTTTCAATCAAACTGGCTCATCTGAAGACCACGTCCAACCAATTTATGATACTGAATTTGATAAAGGAATAAATAACAAAATACTAAAAGATAGTCCTCGGATTTGATGTCGTTATATAACTCCAACACTTCACTACCCACCCACCCACCATGCTCATTTATAACATAGCTCATTTTTTAAGAATTTGAGATATAAATTTTCTTTACTTAGCCATGGCTACATACAAATTAAGTGGATATCGACAAAATGCATGCAACAATATGACAACTCAACACCAACGGGCCAATGGCCTCACGGTATCCGCCTCTTATTTCCGAAAGGGAGGTAAGGGGTTCAAGTCTCAGAAGAGAGACGTGTGTGTGAGTACCAACTAGGAAAATATATATATATATATATATATATATATATATATATATATATATATGACAACTCAACTTATACATGCTCCATAACATGAAAAAGAGAAGGGATTGTAGGCCTCACATTACCAACAATAATCCACCTCCTCCTTTTCTGCTTGAGTAGGAGAGGCACCCACGAATCCACCTCTTCCTTTTCTGCTCGAGTAGCAGAGGATCTTCTTACACGCACACACACGAAGAAGAGGAAATAATTAATTTAGTAAAATGTCATTTCTAAATGAAGACGATGTTGATAACTATATTAGTTTCAGAAATATAATTAAAAAATTGTAATGGTTTAAGTATAGTTCAACTCATTATTCTACTCATATTCCAGTAATAATCATGCTGCAGAATTTCAATTAATTATGCAGATCAAATACATTTCAACGGTTTTGATTGATGAAAGCTTGAAACTCGTATACTCGATTCTCTGGTGGGATACACAACCACCCACTAGAGAATCGAGTATTCTTAGTGTGGATACACGATGAAAATGGCGGGATTCATGGTTTTTGCGAAACCCGGTTTCACAAGAACCCTAGACCACATAACAGAAAATGCAGGTAAGGTAAGGATATATACAAAAAGGGTTTTTTTTAGATATGTATGTATATATATATTCTGTAAAAATAAAAAATAAAAAATAAAAACACTGTGAGAGATAGTTAAGGAATTGAACTGACCTGGTATGGAGACGTTGATGATGAATCAGGTTGGTGATGAATCAGGTTGGGAAGTTTATAACATCCCATGGTGACTGGTTCAGCGGACAAACATGGGTCTCAAGAAGCTGGTGTTCCGGTGAGAGACAAGAGCCTGAAATTTGAGAGAACAAGAAGATCGATTCAAACCCCGAACATATCAGAAAGTTCTATTTTTTTTAATAATGAAAAGAAAACATAAAATCAAAACCCTAACCCGTCAAAATTTCTGGTAAATTGCTAATTCGATAATGATGAGATCAATGGACTCACAACAACTCTTTCATCTTCATCATCTACTCCTTGCTCACTATCTGCCATGGAAACCGTGCTCTTCATCATCTAGGCACAGAGTGTTGTGCTGAGAATTACTGGTCCAGATACATGAATTTATATAGCGCTGGCGTTTGATTTTTGGGAGGCTGGTGGAGCGTATTAATTAGGTCATTTCTGTGGGTACATAACACAGTTTTGGGTTCAGTGGTTTACTACTGTAGTAATAACGAAAGCTGAAACAGACTAAATTAAATGTCAGACGAAATAGTATGCAAAGCTGACATACATATATATATATATATGCTTGACTTGATATAATAAATTGTTATTGGCGGCATTAAAGCAAGTGAACCGATCTGGATTTAAGTACAAATTAAACTCACTTCAAATTGTTAAAAGTAAAAAATAATAATAGTTTATAAAAAGAAAACCGATAAAATTAATTCTCATTAGACACCTAAAAAGCTAAGAGTTAGCGCAATTGGAAGGAAATTGATGGACAACTAGTGTTTTACTTTAGTTATTATTGGTACAAATGTCGGAAAGAATTGTTAATAAAAAATTTGTCGTTACATAGTTAACGTTTTAGTTAGGTGTATAAAAGAATTTGTCGTTACATAGTTAACTTGAAACCGGCTTCCTTCATAATAAATTAAAACCGGGCAAATATTGAAAGATCCATTGTCGTTTTATTTAGGTATATATATAAGAATTTTTCGTTACACAACTACTTTGAAACCGTCTTTCTTAAGGTAAAGTCATGCACTATTGACTAGTGTTGTGATTTGTGAAAATGAGAGGCGCAGATACATGTCTATAACATTTGTTTTAATTAAAGATTGCAGTGTAACGGTATTTTAGAGGGTTTCACTATTCATGTGAGAAGGTAGGTGTGCGTATATTTCTTGTCAAGTTAATATATATAACATTTATTTTAGGGTTTTTTTTCCCTTTTCTGACAAATTGAGAATAAATGATAGGTGGATGACGAGTATTAATTCCATCATTTGTTTAGGGTTTTGTTTTTCTTTTTTTGGCATTTTGGGTATATGGTAGGTTGGTGGAGACCTATTTATTCCATCATTTCTAGCACAAGGTAATAGATTGATATATATATATATCATTTATTTTAGGGTTTTGTTTCCCTATTTTTTTTTTTGGCACTTGAGTATATATGGTAGGTTGGGAAGAGTAATCATTTGTCTAGGTTAATTTCCCTTTACTATGCTGTCAACTAAGATTATTGTTGTAGACATTAAAAATTTAATAGACTTTGGTATTGACAAATTGACCCATTCAATATGGGTTTAATGTTTAATTAAATTGTTTAATTAGCCCAAACTTAGTCCACTTAAATTATTTAATTAGCCCAGCCCAAATGATTAAATGGAAAGATAATTATTCCTAATAAAATATACTTGGAATAATTATTTTTAAGAATAATTATCACAATATAACTGGCCCGGCCCAGTTATAATTTTATCCTTATTAGGAGATGACATGTGTCATCATCTTATTAATTCAAGAAACCTATAAATAGAGGCCTGAAGGAAGAAGAAGGGGGTACACAAATTCATAATTCAGAAGTTCAGAAACTCAGACACAAATTCAGAATTCAGAAGTTCAAACACAAATTCTGAATTCAGAAGTTCAGAAACAAAGTACACAAATTCAGAAGTTCAGGGACTCAGAAGTCAGAGATACAAATTCAGAATCCAAACCCAAAAAAAACGAAGAACATCAAGTACATCCAACAACGTGTTGTTCTTCATCAAATCCCATGATGATCAACAACAACCACATCCAACGACGTGTTGTTCTTCATTAAATCCCACGGTAATCAACAACAAGCACATCCAACGACGTGCCATTCTTCATCAAATTCCACAATGATTCAAGAACAAGCTCGTGCAGCCCTTGGATCCAACCAACAACAAGTAAAGGAGATCGAATCAGAGAACCATTCTTTTTGTAAAGAATGTTATTGCAGAGGATTATACTCCATCTTTATATTTAATAAAATATTCTATTTGCTCCCAATTTTGTTCCTTATTTGCAGTTTACAAAATTTGTGTGTACAAATTTCTGGCACGCCCAGTGGAACTCATCTGCCTCTCATCTCTTTCTCCTACATCAAATCCTCAACAAATTCATTATCAGATTCTATGACTTCCAATAAGTTTCAAACGAAGAGCAAGAATACCACGAAAGACATCGCGGTCATGACGGATAACATCAATACCATCACAAAAGGTAGCAAGAAGGTTGCAACTTCGTCAAGTGGTACAAACACCTCTGTAAGTTCAATGATATGGAGCATGGCCAAATCATCTGTTCCTGCCAAAATACAGCACGATGCGATGAGTGTCAATTCTGCCAAATCTGTCAAAATAACAACTCAAACTCATACAGCCTTCACCTCGCTGGGGGCAATGAGGAAGGTTCCTACAACCTCAAAGGTTGCTCCAGTCACAAGTTCAAGTTCCACCTCGCTGAGGGCAAGGAAGAAGGTTCCTACAACCTCAAAGGTTGCTCAAGTCACAAGTTCAAGGCTAGTCCACCCAAGGCTAAAGATTTTTTCTAACTCCATCACTATGCCAGTCATGATGACAAGTACTATCTCGTATGAAGAACAATTGATGACTATGGCCTGTACAATTGAAAGATTATAACACTCTCTCAAGGAGCAAGATCTAAAAATTGCCTCGCTGATAGAAAAGTTAAAATTACGTGACGACAATGCTGAGTCAAGCAAAGACCGAATTTCTCATTCTAATTCCATGCCAAAGAACACTCCAATTGATAATCAAAATGACGTGTACGCCAATCCAACAATTGATGCTGCATCTATCACCTTACTTTCTGTCCAACAACTTTAAAACATGATAGTGAATTGCATAAGAGAACAATACAATGGCATCCCTCAAAGTGCTCACATGTACTCAAAGCCTTACACAGAAAGAATTGACATTTTAAAAATGCCGGTTGGGTATCAACCTCCAAAGCTTCAACAGTTTGACGGAAAAGGCAATCCCAAGCAACATGTCGTACACTTTGTAGAGACTTGCAGCAATGCTGGTACAAACGGAGATCTCCTTGTCAAGAAATTCATTCGTTCCCTCAAAGGGAATGCATTTAATTGGTACACAGACCTCAAAGCTGGAGGTATTGACAGTTGGGAGCAGATGCAACAAGAATTTCTCAACCATTTCTACAGCACTCGTCATACTGTTAGTATGCTGGAGCTTACAAATACAAAACAAATGAAGAGTGAACCCGTGGTTAACTACATCAACCGTTGGCGAGCTCTAAGTCTTGACTGCAAAGATCGTTTGTCTAAAATTTTTACAGTTGAAGTATGTATGCAAGGCATGCACTGGGAGTTTCTTTACATCCTATAAGGGATTAAGCCTCGCACGTTTGAAGAGCTTGTTACTCGAGCCCACGACATGGAGCTTAGCATGAAAAATCATGGATGTTCCTGATATATTCGACAACCTTCAAGAAGATGAGAGAAGTGAGTCCGAAGAAGAAGACAATATACTTCCTAACTCGGATGACGAAATAGCTTCATCTTTCATTATAAGCATTATATCGAAAGACTTGTATCAAGAAACGCACCATGCTACAACAATGACTTCAACCGAAAGTGCAAAATCACAGGGGGCATTAAGTCAAGGAAACCAAGAAGAAAATCCTCAAAGTGACGACGAGATAGTCCGTGCCCTCCAGTATAAGCTTGGATTTTGTCTGATTCTTGCAAAGTTAAAGAAAATTATTAAAGTTAAAGTGCTCCCAGATATGAGCTTAAACTGTCGATGATGCTCCCAGATACGAGCCTAAACTATCGACGATGCTCCCTGACACGAGTATAAACTGTCAACTTGAAAAGAAAAAAAATGATACTCCTGACACGAGTATAAACTGTCAACTTGAAAAAAAATGACACTCCTTGACATGAGTTTAAACTGTCTACTTGAAACAAAAAAAAAAAAAAAAAATCAAGAACTCCTTGATACAATTTTAAACTGTCTCCCAAAAAAAAAATGACACTCATTGACACGAGTTTAAACTGTCTACCTGGGAAAAAAAAAATCAAGAACTCCTTGATATGAGTTTAAACTGTCTTCCAAACAAAAATATGACACTCCTTGACACGAGTTTAAACTGTTTACCTAAAAAAAAATATATATATCAAGAATTCCTTGATACGAGTTTAAACTATCTCCAAAAAAAAAAAAAAAAAAAAATGACACTCCTTGACACGAGTTTAAACTGTCTACCTGGGGAAAAAAAAAATCAAAAACTCTTTGACACGAGTATAAACTTTTTCGAAAAAACTCATGTCTCTTTTGAACTACGTGATAACTTGATCCGTCGTTTGAGGGTACGTAGGCAGCTTAGAATTTCATTCTAAGTTCAGTATAATTAAAAAAAAAAAAAAAAAAACTCACTCCTTGACAAGAGTTTAAACTGTCTACCTAGAAAAAAAAACCAAGAACTCCTTAATACGAGTTTAAACTATCTTCCAAAAAAAAAAAAAAAAAAAAAAGTTAAGAACTCTTTGATACGAGTATAAACTGTCTGGAAGAAGAAAAAAATTGAACTACGTGATGACTTGATCCTTGTTTAGGGTATGTAGGCATCTTGGAAGTTTGTTCCAAGTTCAATCAACTTAAAAGAAAAAGGGCAAAGTGTGCTCATCGCATGATATCAAAAGTGCTCGTCGCACCTGTCAACTTGGCATGCCACCAAAGTGTAGTTGCAAAGAAAATTTTGGTCTGTCGCCAAATTGTAGCTGCAACGAAGAAATTTGGCCCACCGCCAAAATGTAGCAACAAAGAAAAAATTTGGTCCCTCGCCATAATTATAGCTACAAAAGAAATTTTGATCCGGCAAAGTGTAGTTGCGAAGAAAGAAATTGGTTTGTTACTAGACTGTAGGTACCAAGAAAAATTCTACTCATCGCCGAAGTATTGCTGGAAAAGGTTTTCGTTGAGCTATCGTTGAAGAAAAAAAAATTTGTTTATCATCGAGGTATGGCTGGAAGAAATAAATAAAATTGACTTGCCGCCAAGGCATCGCTGAAGAATCTGGGTCATTGCCAAAGTGTTGCTGTAACAAAGTTTTGACCTCGCTAAAAAAAATTTGCTTGCTGTCGAGGTGTTGCTGAAAGAGAAAATTTGGTTTTCTATTGAGGTATTACGTCAAGAAAAATTCACGGCGTCGCCAAGATA